TTTGAAGAAATGCGACAAGATGCAGAAAAAAACTTTCATTTGCTTTTCGAACACGTAGAAGAAGTATGCACCAACCTAGGTACAGAAATCAAAGTACCGCGATACAGCAGTCGCCAAAAGAATCACTTTAATGTGAAAACCGGAGACGCCGAGGCATACTATCGCATTGCTTTTTACATTCCCTTCCTTGATACATATATTGCTCATTAGAAAAACCGGTTCCTTNCGCTGTTAAGAAAAAACCTTTTTTCGATATTTTTTTGCGATGTTGCTTTGACCAGGGCTTGAACCCAGGCGTTGCGGAGTGGAAGCGCGCACTGCTTACCACTACACCACAGCAAAAGTAAAAAGAAAAATTTAATGTGTTTAAAATTATCAAAATATTTTATAAATAAAGCGAAAAATTGAATATATGATTTTAAAAATTCGTGTTTGAAACTTTATTACGCACACTTTCTTCTAAAGAGCCTTTTTTCTAGACCCACATTAGTGAAATACAGTGAAACCCGCTTTAGTACCCCCCGCTTAAGTACCTAACCCGCTTAAGTAACCAACATTTTTGGGCAATGTGAATTTTTAAATGTAATCTGAAGAAAATCCCTCTCTTAAGTACCTCCCCGCTTATTTACCCAACCCGCCTAAGTACCTAAATTTTTCGTACCCCATTTACCATTTTACCTATAATTTTCCACTGTTAAGTGCTCTTATAAAATTCCTTAAAATATTAACTTATTTTGAAATTCAGTGGCAGCACTTCGGAGAAAAAACATTTTAAATTTTGGCGATTTTTTTCTTTAAGTGTTCTATAAAATTTTAAGCCTAGGTTTACTGCTTCGAAACGGCAAGTACACATCTATGCAGCAAAAACTGTCAATTTATAGACAAACAAAAAGTTTTTTTAAAACAAAAATAAAATTCTTAACTTTTCTACATCACATACATATGTTTTGTTTCCTTACGTTCAATTTTGTTTTAATATTGTAAAATCCTTCTATTGACCTTTTTCGTTCTCAAAACGCGGCAGTCTGCGATTTCGGCACGACCAAAAGAAGAACTGTGAATGTTCGAATAAATCGCTGCAGCAAAATTGTACAAGTGTGTGGTTCCTGATTTAAAACTATGGTCGGCATTCTTGTAATTTTTGTCGGAACAGATTCGCACCGACAAAATCGCGTAGGTGTGTGGATACCTTAACTATACTTATTTGTTGCCATTGAAAAATATTGTAAAAAAACACCTGTTGGCTAGCGAGCTATTATCCATATGCACATACATATGTAAGCCAAGTAGTCAACTTTACTATTTCCCCATCTGCATTTTCTTATGTCGTGAAATTTAACATATGTTTCTCACCTTTCGTCATTTGATTGTGATTATTATTGGCCGCATTAATATTGGATGTCACTTCAGAGTTCTGCACCAGCACAGAAGTTGGCACCGCTACAACGGTCGACACCAACAGACCCAGTATGAATACCAAATTCAAAAAATGGTTCGAGCGTTTGGCGCAGCACATTTTGCCTTGTTTATAAATCGCACTCTGTGTTGTTTTAAGTAAAACTAATTTTATTTTTAATGAATTAATATGTAGTAAACAATGTATTTGTATTTACAGTTTTTGAATATCAAATCACTTATTTTTGTACACTAGATTTAAATGTGCTTTGATATGAAGGTGTTTGCTGTAGCACTTTTGTCCACTGTTCTCCTTGAAGAGACGTTGTTCACTGCTCTAGCGGTCTGAATGAACTGCTGCCTCTGCCGTTAGTGCAACATTTTTTATTGGATTGGCCTCGTTTTGTGCCAATGCGGGCGTTGAATATCCTTTTCGTTTCTGCACCTTTTGTGCATATGCTTGCTCGTACATATTTGCTTTTATCTCCTCGTACTTAGTAGCGAACGAGCGAAGGTGTTTAACGCATTTGCAATGGTGTGCGAACTTAGCTTTTTTCCAGATGTCCCTCCGCTAGCTGTTTGTTCACTCAAATCTTTGTACGTACGTCATTGATAAGAATTAATTCATAACACGTTGTAAGATAATTTGTATACATACATAAGTCCAACCCATGAACCAACGACTACAGATCACCTAATCAGCCATCGTTGTATTTGTAATCGATTTTCAGAAAAAAGTTTTCGTAGCGTTTTTGACGTTTTTCGGGTTTGTTTACATCGTCTTCTACCTCTTCGTAGTGATTTTTTAGCGATTGAATGTGTTTTCTGCAGCGATTTTAATTATAAATTTTGGTTTATTACATATTTATGATATAAAATAAAGTGCTGTGTGGTCGGAACAAGTTTGTGCGTATGTTTGGTTTGCCAAAAGGCGTAAATTTGCGTGAAAAGTGGGTGCACGTTTGTGGCCAGAACGGTGGCATTGAAAAATCGACCCGTGGTAATGATATGCGATTGTAAAACACTTTCAATCATGAAAACCATATTTTATGAACTTTTTTTGCTAATTGTCATCAAGTTTCACTTTGTATATTTTATAATAAATACCAATTTAATCGCACTCAATCACCGCGCCTTTTTCGTTTTCTTTGTTTGTTTTCATTCTTAGGCAGATGTCAAAAACACTCAGAAATATACTTTTTTCTTGCTTCTTTGATTAGGTGATCTTGTATTTTTGGTTCATGAGTCCAACCCAACGTTTTCCCTTCTCTGCAACCCAGCCGGTTTGTGGTAGTTACACCACTGTGTGTATGTCAAATATTTATGTTGTTGTAAGTAAATGATTGTTTTTGGTGCTTTAACTGAGTAGTCAATGCGCATGCACTTAATAATTCTCGGAGCTTGTATCTTTCTTGTGGTGGCGAACTTCGAAGCTTTTTTACATAGTTTGTCTCTGAACCACTTATGTATTAGCGCTTAAATTGCTTCTTGCTGCAGGCAGTATTTAAAAGGGAAGAAAAAATTGGGGAAGATTTTTGATTTCGGTCCCAAACGGGCAAACAGTAGTAGCGGTAAATAAGAAAAAGTAGTACATATTTCGATGTAGATTCAACTGCAAACAAATTTTAAACTTACAAATTGACTTTTTCAATTCTAGGTTGATTATACATACAAATGTATGTTACCAGATCCGAACCATAAAGCATTCTCATCGCCCTCATAAAGAAGTCTGTCAGTCTGGCTGCTAATAAATTTCGATGAGGGTAAGCGAAGATATAGATATTTGAGAAGCTCTGGTCAAGATCTGGTATTCACATAAAATGTGTGCATAGCAACACGACGTTCGCCGGAAAACATTCGCAAAGCCCATTGGATGTCCTCCGATCAAAGAACGAAAAACCAAATTGATCACGTTATGATCAGCGTTGCCGTTGGGATACAATTGCAGCCAAAGTGCTACATTTCAAATGAAAAGCTACATAACTTCTAAAATAGCCCAATTTTCATGGCTTCAATATTTTGTTGCATGTTCAAAAAATAGCTTTAGACCCACGTTCAGAACTCCAAGTTTACCGGTTAAATTGATATATTGGCTTGCACAATCAATGGCAGGGTTGCCAGATTCTGAAACGAAGAAAGGAGTACATTTCTATTTTCAGTAAGGAGTAACATGTTTTTTTTGTAATTTTTTATGCAATTTATTGTTACAAATTACACTGGTTTACAGCAAAAATATTCAATAGATGCTACTATCCAATTTCTATATATGTAGAATTGCTCCCTGATTCCGAAAGTATAGTTAATTTTTTATTCTATGGATAAGTTCCCGAGATATTTTCAATTTACCGTTATTCAACTTAAAACAAAAATTGGTTCAACTTAATCAAGTATATCTTACGAACCAATTTAACAATCTTAAAACCGGTTACTCAATATCTGGTTAACACTAATCTGCGGTTAAACATAGTTATCGACGTTACCGACTCCATGTTGTATTCATGGTGTCGAAGATGTTGATAACGATGTTTAACCGCAGATTAGTGTTAACCAGACGTTGAGTAGCCGGCCCTTAATATGAAATACGGCACGTGAACGTTAATAAAATTCTCCATAAATGAGCAGAAAAGAATGTTACTCATACTCCACGTACACCTGAGTAACACAGTAATAGGGGAAATAACCCACTCAAGGCGTATTTAACAAGGTGGTGTTGGCCGTATATAAGTAAAAAATTACACTAACAAATAATACGCTGATGTCCATACTGTCATTGGTATGAGTTACAACAAACACATCATTTTGTCGTAATAGTCTCCACGGCGAAAAACTCAGCTGTCGCCCCAACACCACCTTCTTTAATACACCTTGAACCCACTGATGTACTACTTTTTACTCAGAAATTAGAAAAAAATTTGGGTAAAATGTCGAATGAAATTTCGAAGTTTAACTTCATAATCGTAATAATTTAGCTCTCAAAGGGCCTAGAGACTTCTACCTTGGCTTAAATTAAAGGTCTTGAATAGCTATAAAACTGACTGGTTGTTCGAGGGATATAAAATTGTGTGAAGGATGCACACCTGCATGCAAATCATAAAAAATGCAATATTTCAACCTATATATTATATTATATTATATTTAATATTGCGTCTGCCGAAAGCGCTACGATTAATTGGTATAAAGTGTTAAAAAAGCACGCTGTGTGAGAAATGTCATTTTGAAATTTTAAAATTACTACGGTGTATTTTTCTCAAAAACATATGGGTGTTTCCATGAAAATGTCAACCAGGACTGAAAAAATAAAAACAACTGAAAAGGGTTTTTAAGACGAATTAATAAGAGAAAAATACTCGAATTTTTATATTATAGAAGTATTTCAGCTTATTGGAATTTTAAAACTCAAAAATGGAAGAGTAAAACTGAATGTCTCTTCGACTCAGTTTTCTCTAATGAAATGAACTATTTTCACTTTCCTGTTAACTAAATTAAGAGATTTGAAACATTACAATTACATCTTAAAATCAAATTTGCAATAACAACTAACTATAAAAATGAGAAAGAGGAGACGTTAGAGCTCGAATAAAACGATAATTTTTTGATTTGCTTCTAATAGTATTCTAATGTCGCGTACGTTATGCAAAAACATTGTTTGTCTATGTCATTTGTATATTGGCAGTCGCAGGTAATGCAGATTACAATTCTTAAGCGAGAATTCTTCTAGTTAAAGATATACAGTAAAATTTTCTTTCCAACCGAAGTAAAAAAAATTTTATTACCCTTTAAAGTTTGTCGCATACGTTATTGTAAGTACGAAAATTTCAATCAAATACATCAAAACCAATGTTAATTGCAAATTTTCCATTTAAATTATTTAGAATAGTTGTAAAACAATGAAACGGTGGCGAGAAGAGTTCTCAATAAATACATTTTATTACTTACGAGAAAAATTGTCGCGTACGTTATTGTTTTTTTTTTTAATATAAAACTAGCCAGAGATAATTTCTCTTAAAATATGAAAGCATTGTAAAGGTACATTATTTAGCTTAGTTTAGGAATTCTTAAAAAAAAGAAAAACTCCCATGATTCGAAGACTTTCGCATATATGCGTGTTTCCATGAAGATGTAAACCGAAAATGCAAGCAAATAAATTCAAACGGCTTTTTAACTTTAAATTTCGTATTCAGATGACGGAAAAAGGTTTTGAAAACGCGAAACGGTGGAGAGAAGGAGTATGTGTTACTAGTAAAAATATTGTATGGGGGAAAAATCTGTCGCGTACGTTATGTCGCGTACGTTATTATACTTTTTTTAATAAAAACTAACCAGAGATAATTTCTATCAAAAAATGGAAGGATTGTAAAGGTACATTATTTAGCTTAGTTTAGGAATTTTTAGAGAAAAGAAAAACTCTCATGATTCGCAGACTTTCGCATATATGTATATGTGCCTTAAAACCACTTCTTTCTTTGTCGAGTACGTTATCACCTGGTTTTGAACGGATATTTTCCACACCAAAGTTTCGAGACTGCTTATTTTTTTCTCAAACATAGTACCCTTTGGTTGCAACATAACCGTAATCTTTTTTTTCTGTAACTTCTATTTTTGATAGATTTACGTTACTCTATAAGCGTACGAATGTCGCGTACGGCGGTATGGAAACACCCATATGACTTATAAGAATATAATTCATTTATAAATAATATATAATATAATAAAATAAAACGCCTTGGCGTACAAAATTTTTGATTCTTATTTCCCTCCCCCAAAATCGAGCTGCCGGATCGTGAGAACAGAATAGGCTTTAGCACGAATGCGAAACAGAACCTGTTATTTTTTAAATTTTTCTTCTGTTACAGTTAGATTTTTTTAATTTTGTCATTAAAAAATAAAAAAAAGCTGGAATGATTAATTAATTTGTCAGAAACTATCACTCCGATCGGAAAGTTATGTATATATGGTTTATTGGTTCGTAAGATATACGTGATTAATTGGAACCACTTTTTTTAAGCTGAATAACGGTAAATTGCAAATATCTCGTAAACGTATCCATAGAAAAAGAAAATTAACTCGATTTTTGGAATCACCGAGCAATTCTACATAGAATTTCGATACTGGCGTCTAGAGAGCAAAAACCAAACTAAAATCCAGTGTCACCATTAATTATGTACAAACAAACAAAGATATCTTTTTCAAAGCAACAATAAATGTTAAAAATAAATAACTAAATTCGACAAAATAATTCCAGACTCTTCCTGAATGTATGGCCAGTTTATCAATGTCTGGTTAGTACTACCTCCCAGTTAAACATCGTTATCGACGTTATCGAATCACTGTTATTTGTTATGGTGTCGATCACGTTGATAACGATGTTTAACCTGCAGTTAGTCTTAACCAGACATTGAGAAACTGGCTCTTAGGGCCGTTTTCACCAGC